ATGAGGATGCTCAGGTGGATGAGTGGCTTTACTCTTAAAGATAGGATACGAAATGAGCATATACGTGAAAAGGTTGGAGTAGCTCCAGTGGAAGATAAGATTAGAGAGAGTCGACTTAGATGGTTTGTTCACATAAAACAGAGGCCTTCCGATGACCCGATTAGGAAAGTAGATGTATTAGATTTGACTTATATTAAGAAAGGTAGAGTTAGTCCTAAAAAGACTTGGGTAGAAAAATATTAGAAATGACCTTTCTTTATTAGATTTAGATGAAAATTTGACCCTTCACATGACACAATGGGGAAAAAAGATTCATGTAGCCAACCCACAGTGAGATAAAGGCTTGTTGTTGTTATTGCTGTAATCATATCAGGGATTATCCTCTATTTAAATTACTAATATCATTCAATTATCCATTAATGCTATTGGGGATAGTAATTCTTCACTAAATGATATCCAAATATCTCCTAAGTTTTTTACTAAGATTATCTTAGTAGAAAAAATAATTGATAATAATTGTGATGCTTTATTTTCTCGTTATAGTTATATTGCATTTGATCTGATGAAAAGGGAAAATATTCATGATGAGGCCTAAAGTTGGATGATTATTTTCCTTACAAATTTCCATTTTTGAGGTTGTTTCATTCTCTTGTACTACAAGAAATCAACATAACGATCTATGACAGAATTGTTTGGTTCATCTGAATTCTAGGATTTCATCTCTTCTTTAATGAACTCTTTTTTGCTGGCTAATAAAGACTAATCCTTATCTCATCTTTCTTTTGATTGCTCAACATGTAAAATTGGGAAAATCATCTCTCATTACCATCACTTGCTAGTCATGCTGAACGCTAATGTATAGGTTATAATGTTGTATCACATGCAGATTATAAATGTTGTGACATTCATTAACTATTAGAACAAATATACATAAGTTTATTTTCTTTACCAGAAATATAAAGTATTAGCTGTCTTTTAAAAATTTTGAAGCCTATGTTGAAACTTCATTCTTCTTCAGCATCAAAATGTAAATATTCGATTTTGGGGTGATTACATGTAACTTGAATATTTTTATTTTTTTCATAGAAATAGTATTCATTTCCTGACGATCATGTACATATGTACCTCAACAAAATGGTATTTTTTAACATAAGAATTGCCTCCTATACGTGCTTGAACTTTGTTTCTATAATTTTTTGATCCACCTAAATTCTAGACTGAAGCATTGGGCATGATAGTCTATTTAATTAATAGATTGCCACTCATACTTGAGATTTGACTATATTATCACTCTTTCATATGCATCCCAATTACCATGATATGCATACATTTAGTTGTTTGTTTGATTTATCTACCATCTTGTGAACATCATTATATTCTCCGCTCAATCAATTAAATTTGCATTTATGGGTAATAATATTTCTCACAAAAGTTATTTTTATTATGTTCAATCTTACAAAAGTTATATTTATTAGGACCAGTGCTCCAAAAGATTTAGTATCGCTCGTTATATTTTATTCTTTAGTCATATTAAGCCTTTGTTAGAGAGGTGTTTTTTTTTTTTTTTCTACTTTTGATGAATTGAATCCTATCTTGAACAATTCAGACATGAATTTGTGTATGAAAGAAAACATCCAATGTAACCACTTCCCAAGCCAAGCTCACCATCTCATCTTGTGCAATTGATTCACCACCTGAGATCGCTAGCTAGAATTCAGTCATTTATCTTAAGACAATCTTCTAGAATCTCTCATCCTCCAACTTGGTATGGCTTTCATGCGACATTGTTTTTCTATTCTTCTTCCTTTTTGCTAGAAACATGATTGTGAGAAGGTGGCTATGGCTGATGAATTTTGAGCTCTTGGGGATAATCGTATTTGTGAGATTGTTCATTGTCCTCCCTTTTTTTATTTTTATTTTTTATTTTTATTTTTTATTTTTTGTTCATTGTCCTCCCAATGTTAAAACAATTAGTTGCAAATGGGTTTACTTGATCAAGTTCTGCAATGATGGTACTTTGGATTGCTATAAGAATATGTTTTGTTGTTCTCATCAACAAGCAAGTATATGGGGTTAAAATGAGTAATATGAATGATTATCTGTATTGTTGGTTCACAATGATGATCACTCCACTAAATGGATATTTAAAACCCCTTTCTTCATAGTGATCTCAAGGAAGAGATTACATGATTCTTCCACCTAGCTTTTCCTTCACCTATTCTTAGGATGCATGTAAATTAAAGCTCTTTCTCCATATACATTGAAACAAGCTTCTCGGGCATGACATGATAAATTTCGGTCAACCTTTATTTCTCCTTTAAATAGTCTCAATATGGCTTATATATATATATGCAAGGCATTAGGTGGTATTCTTATTCATGTGATTTATATTAATAACATTATTATTACTGTGATAAATTTGGCATTGGTTATACATTTGCATTTTCATACTATATTTCATATGAAGAATCTTGATGTTGTTAGTTCTTAGGTTTGGAATAGGGCTTCAAACAAACCAAATCAAGCAGAGCACAAGCTTTTTCAAGCTTGAGTTCATTTGTTAAAATCCTATTTGTGCTCGACTCAAGCTCTATTCAAGCTTTTATTATTGCGTTCAAGTTTGGTTTGTTTAAAATTAAGGCTATTTGAGATTGGCTTCAGTTCGATTCATATTGTGATTATTGAGCTTTAGATGAGAAGCTTGTTTGGTAAATTAAATGAGTCTGATCAAGCCCAACTAATAAGTTGTTCTATCGAGCTATTTACCCAAACTAGTGTTATGAAGCTCATTGACAAGCTTAGCATATTAGCTAACCAAATGAGTGTTATCTAACTTATTAATAAGCAAGCATTTCGACCATCATACCAGCTAATCGAATGAGTCTTATCGGGCTTATTAATGAGCAACTTTTCGAGCTTAGAAAATAATACAACATATTGAGTAACATGATTGAGGCAAGCAATAGGTATCAATCACAAGTGTCTTAAAGTGAGTTTGAGCCTAATGATGTTTTTGTTGTTGGGGTAATTGAGAATGATGAACAACATGAAAAGGTTGGAGAGGTAAAAAATTATATTTATAGGAATCTAGGATTTCTAATTATTTAGAACCAATAGCTGAATCAAATAAAGAAAATATACAAAGCCAAGTTGATGGTGTTCATTAAATGCCAAGTGAAGTGCAAGAAAAATCTTTTTAATAGTCTCACCTATGGATTATTAGTTTGGTCTCATCATGCCTTCTCTAACAAGCTCCCATCACCTACATGTCAACGTACTTCTCTTCTCGTTTACGTGCCTCTTTGGTCGCGTTGATGTCTTCTCTAGTAAGATCCCATCACATTTCTCTAGCGTTAAGGGGGAAATGGGATTTTGTTTTTTTACAATTGGTTTTTTTATCGGCTTTTGGCTAGTTTGTGGGATAAATATTAATAAATTTAGATAATTTATGATTTAATTCATTCAAATAATGTTTAATTAGTTTTATAAATTATTATTTAATATTAATTATGATATTAATTTTTTATAATTATAAATGAGTATATTATTGAATCATAAACAAGCTTTATATTAAAGCTTAACTTAATAAAAGTGTTCAAATTTCTTCAATTAATTAACTAAATTCATAAACAAGCTCGATTGAGTCAAACAAGAAGTAGCTTATCAGAAATTTTGGTTCATTTGTAGCTCTAATTTAGAAGCTCACACTAATTCCTCTGACATTTTTCTTAAGCAATGCATGAATTAATTACTAAGTACTTTAGTGGGCCTTAAATGCTTTTCCTGCAGTCTCCATTAGAAGAAAACATAAAGTATCTTAGTCAGAAATGTGATATCTTTGGTCCTACAATATTTTGACAATGATAGACAACTTGAACGATTTGATAGTTTCTTGACTTGATAGTTTCCTCACTGTTCAACAAGTCATTCAATTTATACAAACTTATCATTTTTCTTTTGCTATTGTTTGTCGAATCATTTGCTACCTCAGTGGAGCCCTACTCACGGTTTGTTCTTTCTAGCTGATTTTTTTTTTTCATCTTGTGAGTGTCTTGATGCTTGACAATCTGTCATTCGTTGGTGTATGTTTCTTGGTGACATTTTGATTTCATAGAAGAGTAAGAAGTAGTCTCATGCTTTTTAAGTCACCTATCGAGTCTGAATAACATGTTATGTTTGCTACATGTACTAATAATATCTGACTTCATGATCTTTTATTTGGACTTTATTACAATAACAACAAGCCTTTATGCCACTATGCGAGCTCATCTATATGATTTTTTTTTCTCCATTGTGTTCCATTAAAAGTCAAGTTCTCATTTAAATCTAATAAAAAAAAGTTATTTATGATAGTTTCTAATCAATTCTTTTTAGGTCTACCTCTACCTTTTTTAATATATGATATATCTAATACATCTACTCTCCTAATTTGTTGAACAATCATGACATGAATCCTTTAATATGATTTGAACTTTATTGTCTTAAGAAAAATCTCATTCCTTTATATGTGGACAATATCAGCGCTATTTAAATTGTTGCTAATCATATTTGTTATGAGTGTGCATAGCATTTTAAAGTAGACTGCTATTTAATTTGGTAAGCTTTCGTCATTGATATAACATTTCTCTCATACTTATACAAACCTTCATGTTGTAATGTCCTTGCAATGCTTCTTGATAAATCAACATCAATTTGAGATAAAATATCAATCAAGAATCAATTGTCGTGATTATCTTTATGCTAATTTAGGCTATAGAACTTGCGAAATTAGTATTTATTATGCACGCTATAGAAATCCTATATTAAAAATTTAATTTTGCGAGCTCGAATAGGAGATTTGGTTGCATCAGGCCTGACCCTTTATACAACCTTGTATGTGAAAACTTGTTTTGTAGATTGCAAATAGATTCAGTGACTTATAGCAACTCAGAAATTGCTTGTTCTTTTTTTTGTTTCTGAAGTTTTTTATGTTCTTTCCAATTTATTGAATCATCATGCAGAGAGATGATCCAACACAGACCCTATACCCAGAAGGTGGATGTCTACAGCTTTGGTATTGTGCTCTGGGAGCTCATTACCGGCATGCTCCCCTTCCAGAACATGACAGCCGTTCAAGCTGCTTTTGCTGTTGTCAACAAATGCGCTAGACCAATCATACCAAGTGAATGCCCCCCAGCTCTAGGGGAAATTATGACCCATTGCTGGGATGCCAACCCTGATGTTCGTCCTCCATTTGCCGATATAGTAAAAATGCTCGAGAATGTTCAGGGAGAATTAGCCACTTCTGTTCGCCGTGCGCGGTTCAGATGCTGCTTGACCCAGCCAATGACCATAGACTGAAATGAAAAAAATTGATTTATGCTCAGAAATAGAGAGAAAGAAAGCAATCTGCCTACTTATTTTTGTGCATTTATAATTTAGAAGACTGGTAAGTAGAAAAAAATTAGTTGTTGATTATGTTGTTTCAAGCTGGTTTCTCTTCATAATTGTTGCACCGAGTTAAGTTAGTTGTCATTCGCTTCTTTTGTTTGGTGCTTTCATTGTATGAAATTTCATTACTCGTTTTATGTTTTTATTCAAAGAAAGGAAGCGTTATCTTTTATTTGATAAACTGATATCTTTTTGCTTAATTTTGCGTTATCTTTTATTTTCAGTTTTTGCTTGTCCAACTTACTTTCCTGGATCTGAAAAATGCTTTCTATCATATGAAAGGAAGTGAGAAGTCTAGTAGAAATTCGTTCGAATTTATTAGTTTCAGATACGCTTCCAGAGTTTTTGATTGTATGGATCTTGCAGAGCGTTACTGCCTATTCGCATGGCTGTGTGTTCGTGTTTATCAAACGGTACAGTATTTACAGCTGTTTAATGCACGTTTGGTTGTTGAAAATGAATGCAAAGGAAAAATGAAATATAGTTTAAAAAGAATACAGTATATTAAAAATATTTGAAATTATTTTTATGAGCTGTAAAATAAATATAGGTGATTGTTGTTTTTGTGTTTAGCTTAAAACTCAAAGATGGTTGTGGCCGATGTCCGATGGGGATTGCGGTGGCTCACAGTGGGTAGTGGCTTGTAGCAGCGATTGAAATTGAGTGGTGCCTGGTGGGTGGTAATTGAGGCAGTACCCGCAGGCGGCCAATGGTAATTGCAGAGAACTAATAATGTGTTTAAAAATGGATTAAATTTAATAATTTTTAAATATATCAAGATTTAATTAGACGATGAATTTGAACATTTTTGAAATATAATTTTGTATTTCCTTTATTTCAAGCCAAACACGAATTTTCAAATCCCTACATTCAAGATATTTTACATTTTTTAATTGAATGTCCAATACAAATATGATATTTGAATATCAAGCACAAAAAAGTTCTAAAAGCGCTAAAAAGCAGCAATAAAAAACTATCCCAAACGATGTTTTGATTGCTTATAAAAAAAAATTGTAATTCTTTTTTTAGTTTTATTTTATATGTTCTTAAAACCATTCCCTCAACATAAAAAAAAAGATGGGCTTTGATAAACAAATTTTAGAATTGTAGAGGGCTTTTAATGATTTTTTTAATCTTATGATCAAGATTAATTTCGAATTATATCTTATGAAATGATGACATAATTTAATTTATGCGAAAATATTTACACATGAACATATTATTTTTCTTTAACATGCATCAAATCCGTATACATGTATGAACTAAATTTTAATTTTAAAATATATGTTTTAAAATTTCAAAGGACTAAATAAGCCTTGATAACCTCTTTATGAGTGAAGGTCTTGTTGTGGGAATATTAGTGGCGATAGAGTTCTTAACGATACATGGATATCCAAAAAACAAATAAGTGATTTATGAGTGAGAGAGAGAGAGAGAGAGAAACATCAAATCTTTTTTACATAGAAAACTCAAAGAGGGAAAAATCACGGGGCCTTGCCAAACTAAAAAGATTCCACTAAATTTGAGTGAATTACAATAGTTGACTCATCCCCTGACTTAGAGGTGGTGGAATCACAATAATTTGGAGAGTTGGGCGAATGTTCGACGATGGTAGGGTTGAGGTTCGGTGGTGTACGGGCGAAATTTCAGCAGATAGGCAGTGATCTGATAATGCTCAAGCAGAAGTATGTTGAAGGTCGGCAGTCGGCGGCTGGATGGTGATCTGGCGATGGTCTGGCAGAAGTCTATTGCAGTCCATGACCCTCAGTCTGATATTTTGATAATGACAAATAATGTCGATTGACTTATTATTCATTGAATATTTTTAATTTTTGCTATGGTCTATGAGTACTAACATTTCAGGGAGATCATAAATTACTCAAGACAACAAAAAGACTCAAGACTGTATAGAGTAGGATTTGGAGTCTATAACCCTGTAATTTTCTTTTTCATTATTTTTCTTTTCTTGAGTCTTATCACAAAGTGTATACAAAAATGAGCAACCATGCATACACATACGCGGAGAGGTTTTTAAAATGAAGAATTTTTTCTCTGTAGATCATACTGTATGAGTTTTAATCGTACTGTATGACATGCTCTGGCTCAACGTCTATCTGTTAACAAATCATACTTTACGATGCTTATTGTACTGTATGATGTATTTATAATTAAAAACCCTAGCCGCCAGATTAATTTAAGTAATTTATTAATTCGTAATTTTTGAACTGATTGTACTGTACGATCATATCGTATAGTATGAGTATTTGAGTACTTACTTAAATTAATCCTGTGATTAGTCAATCAAATCAAGGATTAATTACTAATTGGTAAATGTATAGTACGATATACCAAGGCTATTTTTGATCGTCTCGAACATTATACCGGACGATCCCTTGATTTTTGTACTAATCATTCTAGACGATGTGAACATCGTACCAGACGACCTGAAGCTTTTAACATATCATATTGTATGAAGTGGATCATACCATACAACGTACAGAGACGAGTTTTGGTCGTCCCAGCAATTGTCCAGTACGAATAGAAGGAATTTAACATATCGTACTGGATAATGTTATATCGTACGGTACGATAAGAGAGAGAGAGAGAGAGAGAGAGAGAGAGAGAGAGAGAGAGAGAGAGAGAGAGAGAGATCAAATCTTTTTTACATAGAAAACTCAAAGAGGGAAAAATCACGGGGCCTTGCCAACCTAAAATGATTCCACTAAATTTGAGTGAATTGCAATAGTTAACTCATCCCTTGACTTAGAGGTGGTAAAATCACAATAATTTGGAGAGTTGGGCGAAGGTTCGACGATGGTAGGGTTGAGGTTCGATGGTGTACGGGCGAAATTTCAGCGGATAGGCAGTGATCTGATAATTCTCAGGCAGAAGTATGTTGAAGGTCAGCAGTCGGCGGCCGGATGGTGATCTAGCGATGGTCTGGCAGAAGTCTATTGCAGTCCATGACCCTCAGTTTGAGATTTTGATAATGACAAATAATGTCGATTGACTTATTATTCATTGAATATTTTTAATTTTTGCTATGGTCTGTGAGTACTAACATTTCAGGGAGATCATAAATTACTCAAGACAACAAGAAGACTTAAGACTGTATAGAGTAGGATTTGGAGTCTATAACCCTGTAATTTTCTTTTTCATTATTTTTTTTTCTTGAGTCTGGTCACAAAGTGTATACAAAAATGAGCAACCATGCACACACATAGGCGGAGAGGTTTTTAAAATGAAGAATTTTTTCTATGTAGATCATACTGTATGAGTTTTAATCGTACTGTACGACATGCTCTGGCTCAACGTCTATCTGTGAATAAATCATACTTTACGATGCTTATTGTACTGTATGATGTATTTATAATTAAAAACCCTAGCTGCCAGATTAATTTAAGTAATTTATTAATTCGTAATTTTTGAACTGATTGTACTGTACGATCATATCGTATAGTACGAGTATTTGAGTACTTACTTAAATTAACCCTGTGATTAGTCAATCAAATCAAGGATTAATTACTAATTGGTAAATGTACAGTACGATATACCGAGGCTATTTTTGATCGTCTCGAACATTATACCGGACGATCCCTTGATTTTTGTACTAATCATTCTGGACGATGTGAACATCATACCAGACGACCTGAAGCTTTTAACATATCATATTGTATGAAGTGGATCATACCATACAACGTAAAGAGACGAGTTTTGGTCGTCCCAGCAATTGTCCAGTACGAATAGAAGGAATTTAACATATCGTACTGGATAATGTTATATCGTACGGTACGATATTGCTAAAAAAAATTGCATGTTCGTACTCCTTCGTACCAGGACAAAGGTTATTTTAAAATGATCGTACTGTACGAACAAAAATGGCTATATTAAAAATTTAGGATTTCTTGGATCCTGATTTAAATATCTAAACTTCTGTCTTTTGAAAAAAAAAAGGGTGTAAGAGAGGAACATGACTAGAAGGGGATTTCTTGAGAGAGAGATCTTGAGAAGATTTTGGGTTTGTGAGAGGGGGAAGGTGAGTTTGTGAGGGAAAAGGAGTGTGAGGGAGATCACACGGTTGCTCATAGCTTGCTACACGTTGCTCCTCCTATGGCCCTAGAAGATCTTGTGGGAAGCTTTCTAAAGGGGAGATCCTTCAAGGTTCGTGTCCTCTAAGGTACTCTGCTTTCTCCAGGAGAGCGAAAAATGAGAAGGTTCGTTTTCGTCACCAGGAGGGTGACATAGTGTTTGGTATGCCATGTCGGGAAGGAGAAAGTGTGGTTTATAAAGGCTTCTCCGCCTTGTTGAGGGGGCAAAAGGAGAATTACTGCTTAGTAGTAAAATTCCTGGAGTTGAGGACTCCGGGGAGTGGATGTAGGTCAAGTGACCGAACCACTATAAATCTTTTGGTGTGATTTTTTCCTTACTACACTTTCTTTACATTTTGCATTTTTACATTCATGATAATTGCTTGGTGAAAACCACATTCTAATTCTTTGCCGAGCAAGTTAAAATTTCACCACCTATTGTCGCAATCGTGATTTAAGAATCCGCTTCCACATAAATTTAATTTTCTTGTTTAAAATTTAAAAACAAAAAAAATTAGAACTCTTATTTAGGATTTTTATTTTATTGCAACAAATTTTCAATTCCCCTCTTGGCGCATCTCGTACATTCAATTGGTATCAAAACTGGGTTTCAAAAATAGTGTGTTAGAAAACCTTGAAAAATCGATCATGGCTCATTTTGGTAATCGTAATACTATGGAGGGTTATTGTATAACCCGTCCACCCCTGTTTGAAAATGTTTTGTTTAATTTTTGGAAAATTAGAATGTCTACATTTTTACAGTCTATAGACTATCATATGTAGAAGTTGGTTCAAGAAGGTTACATTGCACCGTTTAAACTTATGAATGGCATGAAAACCCAAGTACCTTTTAGTGAATGGAGCAATGAGGATAAGGATCTAGTGCAATTAAACGCAAAGTGCTTAAATATTTCTTTTGTGCATTAAAATCTTAGGGCTACATGAGAGTATCTACCTATGCTTCTGGTAAGGAGATTTGAGATAGCATGTGTATCACATACAAAGGAACTAGTGAGATTAAACAATCTAGACTTAACATTCTATTGCATGATTATAAAATTTTTGGTATGAAACCTAGCGAAACTATATATGA